TGAAAAAAAGATTGAGTGTTTAATGCTACTGTAAAGTGTTTTTGTACTGTAGTTTAAAGGAAACTAAGTTGGGTTTGGGTCAATTTCATTTAATGTTTAAAGTTTACAAGTTTGTGAACTAGTGTTATATGACTTCTTTAAAATCTGAGTATAACATATTTATTTTACAAGTAAACATTTACTACAGGGTGCATTAATGACATTGTGCTTATAAAACATGCTGGGATTTCTAATAAGCAAGCCTAGCACTACATTTTCTACTTTCTGGCAGACTGTTTTACTGTACCTAAGACCCAATTAGGTCCGCCTGTCAGTTTTTTTAGGCGGATCTGATCGGAAGCCCAATGCTACTTTATGGGAAGTCAAATCTAAATGGATGTGCGTTATTTTCACGCATTTAATCATTATGGATAAGAGGTCATCTGATCTGAGTGACATCCGTTCCATACTGCTCTGAGCAGCAGTGGATCTGTACACGGATACCCCGATGATTGAAACGGATGGCGCCTATGTGAAAGGGGCTGAAGATGTTGCTGAGAGGGAGGGGGAACACTGGAAGTTTGAATATGCTTTGTTTCTGTGCACTGCACCTTTAGTTTTTGCTTGGCAGTACCATCCATTTCCTTTGACCGTTATACAAACAAGACCTTACCCAGACCATCCTGGCAGATCTCAGTGATGAAGATGCTCCTTTTCTGCCTACAGAAAACATCTCGGCAGTTTTTCTCCACCCGTTAAAAGTTTTCCTGTGCAATTATAAGTGTAGAAGCTGAGAAACTATCATGTTTCTCCTCCATTCCCTTCAAGAGTAATGGAATACTGAATAGCGCACTAAACGCCGAACTCTGACACTGTGTTAACACTGTGACTGTCTCCTAACGGTCGGGCAGTTATTTGCTGAGTGGGATTTTTATGAATCCCTTGGCAGTACTATGCCCTGATAATTATGATAAAGTGCAATGGTCAGTGTTGATTCAGCAGTCTCTGATCTAACAAATATTTCATTCACAGCTCTCCTTCATGCCTCTCATAGTGATCACTCTACCAACTTTCACTTAAAGGAAAACTCCAGGCAAACATTAAAGTGACACAAAACTTAGGAGTTAAATCTTAAAAATACATTCAAGTACCGTAACTAACAATACTGGACCTTATTATTGTATCGCTCGGCTGTAGATCCTCAAATCATCTCTGAATTGGTGCTTACTAGGGTTGCACCGATACTAGTATATGCGACGATACCGAGTATTTGGCCGAGTACTCATACCAAATGCTCCGATACCTTCCCCGATACCGGAACTTCTGATCAGAGGACGATTTTCTCTGACCAGCAGTGCCAGGAGGAAACATGGAGCCGGCTTAACGCTAGCAGAAGTACCGGTATCGGTACTCGGTATCGGTGAATACTCGTACTCAATACCAAAAAAACGGTATCGGTGCATCCCTAGTGCTGACACTGTCCTTCCTTCTGGAGGGGGGCTACTTTTGTTCCCCATGGTCCCTGTGTGTGTTGTAAAGTAGCCACCACTCCAAGCTTGCTCCCTTGATGGACTACAATCTCATGCTTAGTTTACTAATTTGTATTGAGATTGTAGTAATGCTGTAGTAATGACACCACCAAATCTCACTCCAAATTTTGTCAGGCATCTCTCTCTCCAGATGCAGTCAGAGACAGCAGTGACTTAGATCAGTGGTCCCCAACCCCCGGGCCGCGGACTGGTACCGGTCCGTGCATCAAATGGTACCGGGCGGCCCAAGGAATGTGTGCGACTTTTCATGGACAAGAGGTTTAAGGCCGTGACACACTGCAGGCGAAGCAACGTGCTGCACAGGCGTTCCGCGGTAAAATTATCAAACGTTGACCGGTCCGCGGCGATAAAAAGGTTGGGGAGCACTGACTTAGATGATCTCACACAGCAGAAATACATGTGACATAAGGCTTGTGACTGTTATTGTTCAGTAGTAATTCAAGAATATATATATATATTTGAAGGTAGTGCTTAGACACAATCAACATTTCTATGTGTTCCCTTTAACAAAGCTAATTTTTTTTTTCAGGTACACTTAGAGATTGTATACAGATGATAAAAGAAAAAAAGAAAATTACTTTTTTTTTTATGAATGTTTATCTGTATTGAAAGCATTCTTTTATCACCTTTACTGATTTCTCAGTTGTTTATTTTTTGGGGGGCTTTTGCAGTGGTTATTTTCCTTCTTTTTTATTCATATGCATAAATATTTTTAAAAAATAATTATAAAAAAAACCTCAATTGTTGGAAATGTCAAATAATCAAAAATGTTATTGCAGGCCTGCAGAACATCCTGCTAGCAAATTCATTGTTTGCCAGTATGCATGACCTGGTGCAATTAATATCCCAGGTCATGCATGGCTTTCCATGATGGAACGTGCGCAAGCTTCATACTTGTGGAAAAGGGATTCTGTTAAAAAAAAAGAGAGCGAGATGAAATAAAAAAAAAGTATATCTAATGCGTAGCTCATTTTCTGACATGTCAGAAATATGGCCTTTAAAAAAAACAAAAAAAACCCAGCAGTTTCACACCTCATTTACCATATTCACCACAGGGCCAGCAGTCAACGTTGGGGCCTGATGGAGGAAGGTCAGTGAAAAGCTATTAGCAGGGATCCCCTCCCGAGACTTCCTGCTACTTATTGAGCTTCAGGTTAGCATGACAGTGCCGCGAATAACTGCACTGTAGGTTTTTTTAACAGTTAGCCCAGATTTCCCCATAGTGTTTGTCACTTCAGAAAATTGCAGGAGAAAATGAAGTCCCAGACAGCACATGTCACTAGCAGGGGCCTCATAAGTTGAAAAAAAATAAAGGATGTGTTGGGCCTGAGTAATGTGTCGGGCTCCCACAGGATTAGTGTCAAAAGAAAATAATAGAGATGACGGATTCGGAGAAGTTTTGTGAACACTTTCTCTTTTTATTTGTTGCCGATAAAATGTTTCGCAAATGTTAATGTAGAACTGCATGCAGACTGGCGTCTGCCCTGCTTTGCCCCTTGTGGTTGACCTGTAGGGCATTTCCGTGGTGGTTTAACAGCCAGTTTTGAAATGAGAGGGCATTGACCCGGACGGTGCAGTTACTGCATTGGTAGTTTATATTATGACTGCTTAGGGCAGCTTGAATGCACTTTATGTATTTATTTATTTATTTATTCATTAACTTATTCTTATACTTATGCCAGCATATTCCACCGAGCAGTACTGACAGTCCTAAAGAGCCTAAAATCACTTTTTTACCTATTGTTATAACACGAACATATTCCACCAGGTAGAACAGACCACCCTAAGCAGCCAAAAGCACTTATTTGTTTTATCTTTCTTATAACTCCATCATATTCCACCAGGCAATACAGATTGCATTAAAGCTCACCTGTCACGGAATAAAAAAGTTGTTTGGCAGACCCTGCATTCTGTACTTTCTGCGTTACAGACCCAGCACAAGGATACTGAAAGACAGAGCTGTTGATCTGTACTTACCCCAGTTCAGTGAATTAGATATATTTGAAGCCTGGGGATCAGCATAAAAACCAAAATTTGGAACCTACTAAAGGAGCAATGGAGGCCTCTGAATTTCTTATGATTACATATTTCCTTTATATCATTTACAAACATCAAAGTACATGGTAAATGTCAGTGACTAAGGGTTGCTTTAAAAAATAAAAAGTTTGCAAGTTTCTATAACCCATCTGGAAATTTCTGGAGCGTAGTCAACCCTGGCTGGGGTGTCCAAGTGAGAGGTTTCTCCCCCATTCCCCCAATCAGTATGTCCCCCTCTTTTTAGATTGTAAGTTCTCACATGCATGGATTTCCTAACCCTTAAGGTGCCCATACACCTTACGATTATAGCACGATTATTTTCGTATGATGACCGAACCATCGTTCGATTTTCATACAATTGCCCCATCATGCACAGACCATTGTGGGTTTCATTTAGCGTTCGTTAGCAATATCACCTTGCCGAATTCCGTCGATTGACAGAACGGATTTTTGTTTGCGCATGAGCAGTGTTCTTGTTGCAATTTTTTTCGTACAAAAACGCCACTAATCCATCAAATTTCGTACGATTCAATAAAAGTTTTCTAGCCTGCTGGAAAGGCAAAAGTTGAACGGTTGTACAGTAATTGCGGTTGTGCGCTCACCCATCAACTGTGCGATTATCCTACGCGAACGCAGGCGATAATCGTAAGGTGTATGGGCACACTTTATATTTAGCTGTATTGTAACTCTACTGTCTCCCTTTATTGTGTAAAGCACTGCACAAACCGTTGCCTCATAAATCGTGAATAACAGTAATAATAATAATATCCAATCAAATTAAAAAAGATGGAAAGGAAAGTAGTGACCATAGTGGCCGGATTCCTTTTCTCAGTTTCCCAGAGAATAAAACTTGAGTAATCATTATGGTGACGGCCCCACTTTTCTCCTTTTTGTTTTGTCTAATTTTTATATGAGTTTGTACTTTGAAAAAAATTAGGCCAGTAAATTTAATGAAAAAAGGTCAGCAATGGCAGCCTATGTGTTTCCCTGATCATAGATGTAAACTGCTGAGCAAACTGTTGGCCCTATATAAATCCTGTATAAAAATAATAATAATAGATTTCCTTTAAAATATCTTCCTTGTTGTAGACTATTCATAAGTCCACCCACAAAGCATGTCCATTATAAGTGGGGCTAACTGTTCTCTTTTTTTTTTTCTTTTTATGCCATTTTTAATTGTGTGTCTTAAAAAAAATTCTTAAAATTATACATTGTCCCCTTACACCAAGCTCTATCATGTTCCAAAAATACATAGCCATTAATCTCATACATCATCCTTGTCTGAGGAAAAGATTTCATAGATCCAGCACCCATATAATGTTCACACGGTTCACTGGGGCAGAAAATACAGTCACTCTTTCCACTCACATTTTCATAACCTCCTTTTTTCCCCCTAGATTCATTTTCTTTATTATAATTCTATATTATTTTTAGGTGGCGAGTGTATTTAACTCACCGTATAGGCAGTATCCTGATGAGATGGAGTTCCGGCTACAGAGAGCCAGACCATTGAGCCATCGAGACCTTTCAAAGAAGAGTAATGACAGTGACGGCTTTGTTGATTGGTCAGACTGTAGGCATCCTTTTACCTTTCCGACAGCATCACTTCTTCCTCCTATAAACAAGAAGAAGCCACAGGTATGAATTTACTAATGTTTAAGGATCTGTTGTTGCCGTATATATTAATTATGCTGGCCTTAGATTGGAGGAGGCTATGTCATCCCAAACTTGATATTCCAGTTGAGTTTGGGTACCAGATGATTAAATCACCCACTTCTCTCTTTGGGACACCATTCATGAGAGGACCCCAAGGCACACTGCCTATTTAAAGGGAATCTACAATCGTATGGGCTAATTTGTTTTTAATGTGGTCCTCTCAGTAACTTTGCAAGTCTGCATAAACACATTCCCAATGTCTCATAATATACAATAATAATGTAGTTGTTTAAAAAAAAGTTCTGGATCTCCAGTCCAGTTTGTAATAGTAACAATTTTAACCAGAAGCTGGATGAATCCCATAGAACACCATTGTAAAAATCTGCAGACTAAGACTATGGTTCCATATTACTTAGCTTCAGAGACACTTGTGATTCCTCTGTATAGCCCCCTCTCCATTCAATACTGCTTCTGGATTTATTTACAAGAGCCCTGAGGTGGCCAGACAAAAAAAAGTATACAAAAATTGTAAAGTTTTGTGCTGCCCCATCTTACCTTGCCATCCTAGGCACATATACAGTACACAGGTGAATTGCTAAGACCCTGAGACCTGTAATTATCATTTTTTTACTTTTATTATCTCTCTCTCTCTCTCTCTCTCTCTCTCTCTCGCTCGCTCTCTCTCTCATCCTATGGTGCTTATCCACTCGGATCTGTAAACATATGTCACGGAGAGGCCCCATATAGTGCTTTGTAATTAGTAAGTATTCTCCTCTATAGAAAGACCCCTCCAATCCATCAGTAATTTCTGAATGGCTCCCCTTGTGTACACACTACTGAATAATTGATAGCGGATGTCTGGTAATGTTAGCTGGCCATCGGTCGGAATCTGTGTATCATTAGTGAAAATCTGCGGGATTCCTCTGCATTGTATGGTACATCTGCACCTCTGTGTTTGTTATTATATCAGGAATAGAGGAGGGGCAGTTCCATACTGTGCGTTTATACATAACCGTGGGATGAAACAATATTGTGATTTCACTGATCGCATTAGAAAGTGAACTTTGAAACATTAAAACATAAACTAAGGAAATCATTAAAAAAAAGATTGCAACTGTCATCCACTGTTCACTTGTCTGAGAAATTTACTATTCAGTCATTGTGAATAAAGTAATAATCTATACATACAGCACCTATAGAACCATTACTGAATTTGAAAATGTTCCCTGTAATAATTGGCAAAGTTGCCAAAGGTAAGGTGGTATATTTTCTGGACACAAACTGAGAGAAAAACACTTATTATTCAAGAATAAATTATCTGAGCGTTTAGCTGAAATCTGTTAGCTGCAATTCGAAACAGGTAATGAGAAAAGCCCAGTTTGTAAAGACGTCATTCCCCTGCCTCCCCGACAGCCCACATCTATGCAGGACAATGTACTTTTTAAAATGTACAGTCCATAAAAGTCCAATGGAGTCTGTGACACCTAGGGGTCTATTTATAAACAGTTTGTAGGGGCCTTTGCTCTGTGAATATCTGTAAACATTCATTTTAGGTGAATAATACCAAAAACAAATGTTTTTAATATACTGGGGGGGGAGGGGGGGGGGATTTATGATAGCAATTGCGAGTGTTTGAACTTGCACGCAGTGACGGAACAATCGCCATAGCGACCGAGGTGGCTCTCAGACAAGTCTCTCTGTGCCTATCACTGGAGTAAAATTCTGAATACTCTGAGCACAAGGTTGTTATATAAGAGATTTAGCAATCAGATACATGAGGCCAAATTGCTGGTGCCGATGTGACTGGCTTTGTCCTGGTATAGGATACAATACAATACATCCTGAACTTCCTGCTGAGAGGAGCCTCATCTCCAGACCCCCTGGGTACAGGACTTCCTGGGTCAATTATGTAGATCAGCTGACTGATTAACATGCAGCCTTTGGGTTAGTTTTGAACAAATGTTCTTAGAGCTTATTGATTTTCAAAACATTTGATATTCAAAAGATATATTTCTGATCTGCACTACAGTCATGTGATTTAAAATGTATCTGAACCCAAAAACAAAAGTGTAATATATTATAGCTTACCAGTCCTTAGATGTAATGTCTGCATTGGTTTTCTTTTTTTTTTCAGGCTTTTTTACCTGGTGATCCAGTGACACACTTCCTGTCCTAGGGTGACAACACTCACTCACTGTACTCTATGGAGTAATGGCGTTGTCACCCTAGGCTGCTCTCATTATTTGGACTACGACATACACTATTGACATATGCTACAGACATGCAGGTGTTTTGTAGTTCATAGAAGAGCACTCTTAAGAACTCATAACATTGTTTGAGATTTCAGATCAGCGCACAGGAAGTTACAAAGACAGTGGACTTATGGCAGGATCAACAGGTATTTTTCTGTACTTGCTAAAATTGCTCTTGGCCGCAAAAAAAAGAGAACTAATGCAGTCATCACATCTAAGGATTAATAAACGTTTGCCTGTGGATTTAGCGCTCTAGCATCTGCCAACAACTGGAATGTTAGTTTTGGGTGGACTAAGCTTTTAAAATCTGATGAGGACCAGCATTTCATTGCTCTGTTTTGCCTTGCTTTCTCTGCTGTCACATATGACTGAAGTTGAGGCACGCGGCTCATTTGATAGCATTTAAACACACCTTCTCCATTGACAGCAACATCTTAATGTCATCAGAACTCATTTTCTTACATGCAAGTTCACATAGAGGAAATCCATTAACAGCCATCACACGGAACATCCTTCCTGTCCAGCTGTGAAAAGTGCTCAATGATACTTATTTGCCATTTGTGTTATTTACGGTCTATAACTTTTATGGTAACTGGTTCCTATTATTGGTTTCTATTAATGTAAAACATAAGTGAGCAGAAATGAGGTGTGAATTATTCCTTTTCCCTTCTTCTTCGCTAGATGCCCAGCTGTGACTGGTTACTGATAAGCCACAAAAATATGTAAAATGGGCTCTGACAGGGAGGAGGTTTAGCTTCTCTCAGGCATTAAAGTGGAATTCCAGACAGGCCACCAAATGCTCATTTAAAAAGAAATAAAAGACCTGTTTTATCAGCCCAAATATTTGCCATTCTGTTCAGCCTTCTTTGTAACCCACACCTATGAAAGATGGACACAACTATTACCTTTCTTAACCTTTTTTAACCTGAAAGAACCCTTGAAAAAAGATTTATGTGACACTAAACTCAGGAGTAACATTTTAAAAATACATTCAAGTACCTTAACTATTAACAACAATGTCTCTTATTTGTGTATCACTCGGCTGTAGATCCTCCAATCATCTCTGAATTGGTGCTGACACTGTCCTTCCTTCTGGAGGGGGGCTACTTTTGTTCCCCATGGTCCCTGTGTGTGTTGTAAAGTAGTCACCGCTCCAAGCTCGCTCCTGTGATGGACTACAAGCTCAATACAAACTAGTAAACTAAACATAAGATTGTAGTCCATCACAGGAGCAAGCGAGGAGTGATGGACTAGCAGAGCTAAATGTACAGCAGGGAGCCGCCGCGCGTTTAGTATAAGTGATCTGATCAGAACGCTTCTATCAAACGAGCAGCGGCGATTGTGTCTGCCCGCACCCCATCCTCCCCCCCCCCGCTCTTCAGGGGGACCCGAGACAACAGCACAACAGCTCAGCCATAGAGTCTAGAGAACGTCCGTTCTTTGTCTGTACTGTGTGATCACTGAGACAGGAGTGCTGTAATCACAGCGCCACCTGTCTCAACTGTCAGGAACTGCACAGAACATATGTTCTGTGTTGGAGGGCAGGTTCCATTAAGGGAACCTGTCACCTCCAAATTATCACATAGGGTCTTGTAAGTCCCTATGTCATAGGAATAAAATTAAGTGTGGGGG